TGGATTACTCGCTATTCGTCTCCTGGACTATTACCCTGGCTCATCCCCTCCCCAGCTCTTCAGGTCTCCTCGACCCCTTAAGTCCCTCCTTCAGTTTCCCTCATTGGATCACAACTCCCAGTTACTCACCTTTGTTTGCTCTCCCCTCTAGACGCAGCTTCCCGTTTTCCTCACCCGCTGGATTTCCAGTGCGCCCTTAGTTCTTCGTTAAATAAAATATTTATTTTTTCCTTCAAATTGGTGTTCGTCTCCTGATTCTGCATGTCTTGGGTTAGACATTTGCCCCAGAACATGACAAGACACATTTCAGACCAGAGACTAGCTTCTGGGAGAGGAGCAGGACCTGATGATGAGATTAGTTTCCATTAAGGCTTTACAGAAGTAAAACTCAAAATTTGCAGCTGAGACAGGAAAAATGCATGAATGCAGCCAAAAACTGTTTTATTTCTCATGAGGAAATAACAACATCACATGATAGAAATCTCCAAAAAGTACATTTTCCATGACATCGCCCCTTTAAATTAGAAAATATTTCAGGTTTCTATTTTTCAGTAACGACAAGGCAGCTTTAAATCTAATCCCCAGAAAGCTCCAGACCAGTTAATGCCTTTATGCGTGTGACATAAACGTCTCCCACATGAGTTCAGCTCACATAATAAAGAAAATCTCTGCAGTTTAAAAGCTTGAATCTTTGCACTTTCTGGTTTGAACTAACGATCATTAAAAAAAGAAAAGTTTAGTTGCATTAAAGAAATCAACTTGTGATTGTAGATGATACACTGCCTCTTTCAAAGCAGCTCATTCAGCCTGACTTCAAATGGGCTAAACTAAGCTATTCCCACTGAAGTCCCAGCTGCTCCTCTGTGGATACATCTAATTCTCCAGTTTATGTTGAGTGATGGCTCGTTTATTCTGCTTCATGGCCTCTGCTCACCAGGAACACCAGCTGATCATCAATGCTGCATTAGCGCTGCTGTATGTTCACCACGGTGGGGTTCCATCACTGCATCCGCTCTCCTTAAAATATTTATAAAGAAACAAATGAGGCCTCTTTTAGTGTATGTTTTCCTGCTGAGCCACAATCTAATGATCACAGCGGAGCTTACTGTCTGCTCACGGTCGCTGCTCAGATGTAAAAGACAACGCCAGAATTCATTACAGAGGAAACACACCAGAGCAGAGAAGACAGATGGTTGTTTTACCGAAGGCTTAGCCAGCAGCTTCAAAACAACCAGGATGGGAATCTTTAGGCTTCCTGTGAGTGATCATAAATAATCTTTCAGTTTCAGTTAAAACACACTTTTCTCTCATTCACAACAAAAAAATGGAGTCTAAAACCTCCCTCTTAAGCAGCAAGAAAAAAATAAATGAAATTAAATTAAATAAAGTTCTTGACCAGAATAAGTAAATTCATTTGTAGGCAAAACGTCACTTTCAGTCTCAAATGAGTCTTAATGAATAGATTTCATTTAATGAAAATAGAAAAAATGCTGGAAGTGCTGCAGGGCTGTAAGAAATTGTATCTGGTTCTCTCACTGGTGCTCTTCAGCCAAGGGATCCACATAAATGTTGGCAAAAGGCGATCTGAGGCTCTCAGGAGATACAAAAATAAAAAGCCTTTATTAGTACATGGCTTAAATAGTTTAAAACATAGATGCCGACACGTTTCAGCCCAACATAGATTTCATTAAAATCAACAATTATTTATTGTATTATTATCATTGCAGTAAAGTTAAGTTACAGTTTGGTTCCATAAAGAATTAAATCTGGTTCCTACAGACAGACAGAACCTTTCATAGGCTGTTAAAACCCCAGAAAGGATTAAAAACCAGCTGTTGGTGATATTATTTCAAATTGATAAAAAACTTCAAACAGAATCTCACAGAAAAAAAGATGAAATATTGGAAATTATTTGCACAGCAAGCAGCTGTGGCTATAATAATACCAATCTACCAGTCTACTAATATAATCAGCTGAAGACATATTTGTTTGATATATGGACGTTTGACTGCAACAGAATTTTTACTGTTTCATTATAATGTTTTTATTTGCTGTTTGTTTCTTTTGGAGGGTTTATTTATGTTGAACATTTTAAAATCCATTCAGAATTCTTCATGGCCACATTGCAATGCATCTACACATCGATCAAACCTCAGCCTGTAGTAACAGCCCACACAAATGACAACAACGTTTTCACACTACAGGTCAATTCACAGCGTGTGTGAACAAATATTCTTTGTTCCCCGCGCACAGCAGCTCCATCTCCAGCCTCTTTAAAATGCAAACAAAGAATTTTCTATGAAGTGTTGGAAATGCATAAACAATGAATGAGTAATTCAAAATCAAATATTAAAATATTACACCAATATGTGATAAAAATCCAGTTTCTTGTCTTTCGTTTCCTGCTTACCCAGTGAAAAATGGTGACTTTGACAGCACTAACAACTGTTATGCATGACGCTAGCAAGCACAGCCTTTACTGCAAAGCCAAAGTTACAACAGGACCAGTTATTTCCTGCAACCTTTAGTAATAAACATTGTCACAGCAGTAAAATGAAAGGTTGAAAGCACCATGAAGCCCATCTTGTTTGGTGCTGCAGACTCTCGTCCATAATGAGGACATTTCTGTCAGATTTTGGATTGTTTGAGTGTCTGCAGAAGAGGGGAGGCTTCCCAAAAACAAAACAAAAGCAATTAAACTAATACAATAATCACAGATAAAAGAAACAGGGGATGATATCTGCATTTGGACTATTTGTTCTTTGGCTGCTTTTCACACTTTTTTTTAGGTAAGATCATTTTCAGTATATTGTTTTTTAAAGGTTGAATATGGAACAATAAAAAAGGCTATATACTGTATATATTTTTAAAATAATACCTCCACTGGGCATTTAGAGGTGTGCAGAATGAAGGTACAGTATTTCCTTTAAAAGCTATATTTTAATTTTAGAAAATCATCAAATTTTGACAGACACAACACTGGGTTTATGTTTACATCTACCAGCCAGTAGAGCAGCGATACTCAATTGGGGGCCCACAGGCCGGACGTGGCCTGCGAGCCCTGTCTTTGTGGCCCCCAAACCCCACGCGCACCCCCCACCCCCAACCCCGATGGCCGACCGGGAGGCGTAGGATAGACAGAGCTGAGGAAAATAATCAAATAATCAGTGCATAGAGATGCGGGCATAAACGATTCTGCATCATAGAAGAGGAGCCATAATCAATTATAGTGGAATGTAGTTTTGTTATTTTAACGGCAGCACCAGTGTAGCATCCAAATCTGTCTGTGGTGTTCTCCACATTTACCGGGTAGGAAACTTTGGTCTGCCTTCATGTGGTACTGTAGGGCTGAGCTCTGGAGTTATAACCTGAGACCGAACCCGAACCGAATCAGCCCGATCAGTTCTGTTGGATTTGGGCCGTAAATTATGTTAATTGAGCGGGTTGTCACGCGGCGCGCTCGGCTTGATCGATCCGCGACTGAGAGAGAGAGAGAGAGAGAGAGAGGGGAAGATTGTCTGCTCACACAAGAAAGAGGATCGGAGGACGCTCCTCCAAGCATGCGTTATTATTTTCATAATTTCATTATTATTTCTCCTGGAAGCGCTCAGTCAGACCGAGTGCTCTGATGTCGGGAGATCCGGTCTTGGGGAGGGAGCAGAGTGAGTGACGGCGGCTGCAGCGAAATCATCTGTCTCTTTTATTTAGGGACATGGAGAAGTTAAAAGGAGAGAGAAATAGAAGATAGAAGTTTTTGCTCCACTTCATTCTTTTGTTTCATGATGATAAACTGGTGTTAAATTCAACTTAAAGAGAAACTGGGAGGAAGCTTTGGTTCATTTTAAGTTATAGGAGATCTTGTCTCCTATTCATCCCCCACCATTGCAGGTTGCCAAAACAGTCCACTGGCACAGTGAGGCTGACACTGTGGAAAATGGTGGTCTCGACAAGTCAAGTAGCTGCATCTGAGCCCAGAAGATGTTCTAATGTGAATTATTGTTGTAAAGTAAACTTATTAGTAGAAATTAGTCCTTATCCTTTACGATTTGTCACTGGACATGGTGCTGGCTGGTCACATCACGTATCGGCAGCGAATCGACGTCCCGACGGTTGGAAAACTTGTTCTACTGCTGCAAGTACAACCTCCACACACTAGATGTCGCTTTGGTGTTCGTGTTCCATATTCAACCTTTAACTGATCTATGAATCTTTCAGGGGATAAATATGGTATTTAGAAACACATTCACCACGTGTTCATTGCCAAGACATGATTCCTTTATCAGAATTTATGAAAAATACAAAATTAACAGTCTTAACTATGAAATTGAATTTTAACACTCACAAGATATCATCAGAAAACTTGACACACTGTGGATGGTCAACTGATTCCACATGATGAGACAGACGCACCAAACAAAATCTTAGAAAGACGCTCAGAAAGTCAAAAGATTAAGACCATGTTTATTATTAAAAGTCTATTGCATAAAGGGCTACATGTCACCCTCTTCCACGCCAGTTTAAAATCTTAAAACTTCCAAGGACCATGTTTTATTGATAAATGATGGAATTATAGGTTTCCGGACGCATCTTGAAAATAACTCTCAGCTTCTGCCACCATGTAAAATTGTAGCTCAATATCTGTCAAATTACCTGAGTTATAGCCTGTCCTCTTCTTGCTAAGGTTGATTAGCTGTGGTGGCCATTCCTGAATTAAAATGACTCTAAAGGTAATCAGCTATAGATACACATGAAGTGTTTACTTTCATGGAGTCCCATTAAAATCCATCCATAGGTTCATGAGAAATGTTCCTAAATCTAAAGACACACACGCAGGTGAAAAACCTGAACTCTTTTTTTGCTTTTTGCCTGCACATGAAAAACAAAAGGCCCTAGAGGTGGTTTAAGACTTCTTGCACAGCGTTCTACAGATGTGATGAAGTTTTACTTGGATGATTTGATGCATCTGAAACAATTTTAATTTCATTTAATTTTTCTCCCAGTTCATCAAAGCGTTCTACAATAAGACGTGGGTTGAGAGATATAGGGAACCCATCCCAGCAGGCACAACCACCCTCCTCTGGTCCTTCACTGTGTCCATATTTGCCATCGGAGGTCTTCTTGGAACGTTTTCAGTCTCTTTCATTATTAAAGCCCTAGGAAGGTGAGTGAACACATACAGACAATCCTTACCTAATTCTAAAATTCAATGCCACATAAAAAATGAAAAAGCTGGTCTGAAATGTCCCAAAGAATGAACACAGGGGAAACAATAGGTAATTTAATGTCCCACACAAATAGAGAAAAACAGATACTATATAAAAACTATTGGACAAGTAGTTCAGTTCCTAGCAGTAAATGAACTGCCACTTCGTGGCAGTGTGGAAAGCTCCAGTGGTGATGATTTCTCTGCAGGACTGTTCTTAAAAATGGTTGACTACACACTGGCCAAAGACTCCAAATTTAATGAAATAAACAAACACATCCCAGAAAATGCAAAATACCCATCTCACAACATACAAAACTAAATTATTGCAACACGGGCAAAATGGTATTAAAAAGATCAAAGATAATTATGGCAAAGCAGATTATACTGGGTTTTGCATTGAAAGTGATGGAACTAGGGACAGATGTGGAGAATCAGTCAGTCATGGTTAGATTTGTCTGTAATGGCATTCCAGAGGAACACCTGATCGGTCTGCTTGACCTCAGTCAGTTAAATGCTGAATTTATTACCACCCAAATTCTTGAGCATCTCTCTGACTCAGGCTATAGAGCAGCTGAAATGATCAGTCAGTGCTATGGTGGAGCTTCTGTCATGAGTGGGCTCAGGGGTGGGTTTCAGGCCTTACTGCAAAAGAAGGTAGGGAAGGATATTCCCTACATCCACTGCTACAACCACCAGCTGCACTTGGCAGTGGCCCATGCAATGCAGGCAGAGCCATGTGCAAAAACCTTTTTTGATTTATCAGGATCTCTACACTCATTTTTCCACCGTCATGTTTCACAGAACTATGACGTTCCCTCCCTGAAACGACTGTTGGAGATCAGGTGGACAAACCACCATGATGTGGCCAAGTGCCTTGTGGAAAATCAGGATGCTATTATGAGTATCCTGTCAGAGGTTACAGAGGACAGAGCAGCTGCTGTTGATATCTGTACAGAGGCATCAGGACTATTGACGATGTTAAGGAGGCACAATGTCTTTGAAACAGGAAAATTCCTCCTAAAAGTTCTGGGTTCCTTGAAGTCTGCAAACTCTTTGCTGCAGCCTCACTCTGTTGACCTGTGCTGTGATTCAGAAGTAGTCAGTGCATCTCTGCAGGCTTTGAAGCAGATGAGAGATGAGGAAAGTGAGCCATTAACCAGCACATCTGCACCAGCTGCTAAAAGACAAAAAAAAAATAAAATAAAAAAAAAGCTCACTGCTAACAGGTGGTGTTGTAATGTCCACTGTGGGCCACGCAGAAGACTCCACGACTCCTAGCCAGGCTCTGAAGAGCTCTTCTCAACATTTTGGACATAGTCATTGTAGAGATGGAGACAAGATTCTCCAAAAGCAATCCTGATCTCATGAAAACAGTTAGCTGCCTTCAACCTCAGTCTCCCTCTCTTCTGGATCCTGACATGTTAAGTCCTCTGCAGAAAATGACAGGAAGTGACAAACTTTCCAATGAGATTCTTGTTGCAAAAATAATGTTGGAGAAAGAATTCAAAAAGACTGATGATGATAACAGTGAAGAGTTTGTAGACCTCTCCACCATTTGCAAATAGCTACATGGGAATAAGAATGCCTTTCCTCAGCTCCATTGCATGTTTGTAACCTCCCTTGTGATTGGAATATCAGCAGCATCATGCGAGAGGTCTTTCTCCACTTTGTCTCGTGTCCTTACCCCGTTCTGCCGTACTACGCTACATGAGAGAAATAGACATGTAGTCATTCTGACTCACGAGAAGGCCATAACAACAGGCCTACAGGTGCTGGCCAGTAAATTAGAATATCATCAAAAGGTTGAAAATATTTCAGTAATTCCATTCAAAACGTGAAACTTGTACATTATATTCATGCAATGCACACAGACCAATGTATTTCCAATGTTCATTACATTTAAATTTGATATTTATAGGTGACAACCAATGAAAACATCAAATCTGGTATCTCAGAAAATTAGAATATTCTAAAGGCCAATGAAAAAATGTTTGTTTCTCTAATGTTGGCCAACTGAAAAGAATGAACATGAAAAGAATGTGCATGTATAGCACTCAATACTTAGTCGGGGCTCCTTTTGCCTCAATAACTGCAGTAATGCGGCGTGGCATGGACTCGATCAGTCTGTGGCACTGCTCAGGTGTTATGAGAGCCCAGGTTGCTCTGATAGTCGTCTTCAGCTCCTCTGCATTGTTGGGTCTAGCGTATTGCATCCTCCGCTTCACAATACCCCATAGATTTTCTATGGGGTTAAGGTCAGGCGAGTTTGCTGGCCAATCAAGGACAGGGATACCATGGTCCTTGAACCAGGTGCTGGTGGTTTTGGCACTGTGTGCAGGTGCCAAGTCCTGTTGAAAGGTGAAGTCTGCATCCCCATAAAGTTGGTCAGCAGCAGGAAGCATGAAGTGCTCTAAAACTTCCTGGTAGACGGCTGCATTGACCCTGGACCTCAGGAAACAGAGTGGGCCAACACCGGCAGATGACATGGCACCCCACACCATCACTGACGGTGGAAACTTTACACTGGACCTCATGCAACGTGGATTCTGTGCTTCTCCGCTCTTCCTCCAGACTCTGGGTCCTTGATTTCCAAAGGAAATGCAGAACTTGCTTTCATCAGAAAACATAACTTTGGACCACTCAGCATCAGTCCAGTCCTTTTTGTCCTTGGCCCAGGCGAGACGCTTCTTGCGCTGTTTCTTGTTCAAGAGTGGCTTGACACACGGAATGCGACACCTGAATCCCATGTCTTTCATGAGTCTCCTCGTGGTGGTTCTTGAAGCGCTGACTCCAGCTGCAGTCCACTCTTTGTGGATCTCCCCCACATTTTTGAATGGGTTTGTCGTCACAATTCTCTGCAGGGTGCGGTTATCCCTAGAGCTTGTACACTTTTTTCTACCACATTTTTTCCGTCCCTTCGCCTGTCTGTTAATGTGCTTGGACACAGAGCTCTGCGAACAGCCAGCGTCTTTAGCAATCACCTTTTGTGTCTTGCCCTCCTTGTGCAAGGTGTCAATGATTGTCTTTTGGACAGCTGTTAAGTCAGAAGTCTTCCCCATGATTGTGGTGCCTTCAAAACAAGACTGAAGGACCTTTTAAAGGCCTTTGCAGGTGTTTTGAGTAAATCAGCTGATTAGAGTGGCAGCAGGTGTCTTCTATATTCAGCCTTTTCAGAATATTCTAATTTTTTGAGATACCAAATTTGGAGTTTTCATTAGTTGTCACTTATGAATATCAAATTTAAATGTAATGAACATTGGAAATACATTGGTCTGTGTGCATTGCATGAATATAATGTACAAGTTTCACGTTTTGAATGGAATTACTGAAATATTTTCAACCTTTTGATGATATTCTAATTTACTGGCCAGCACCTGTAGATATGGATGGATTTGTTAGGACTTTTGCAAAGAAAAGCAGACGGCTGATGCTGTAATAACTGATAAAAGCCTTAAAGAAATAAAAACAACAACAATTAAAAAAAAAAATATACAAGTAAAATAAAAAAATAAAATAGAAAACGGAAGGATAGACAGATAAGAAAGATAGAATAAATTAAAGACATAAAAAGAAAACATTAAAAAATTAAAAGATAGATATATAGATGATAGATGATAGATAGATAGATAGATAGATAGATAGATAGATAGATAGATAGATAGATAGATAGATGATAGATAGATAGATGATAGATAGATGATAGATAGATAGATAGATAGATAGATAGATAGATAGATAGATAGATAGATAGATAGATAGATAGATAGATAGATAGATGATAGATAGATAGATGATAGATAGATAGATAGATAGATAGATAGATAGATAGATAGATGATAGATAGATAGATAGATAGATAGATAGATGATAGATAGATAGATAGATAGATAGATAGATAGATAGATAGATGATAGATAGATAGATAGATAGATAGATAGATAGATGATAGATAGATAGATAGACAGATAGATAGATTGAAAAAGAACAGATTTAATGCAGCCCCAGTAGTGAACAAGCCAGTGTCCCATTTGTGCCCGGGTAAATGCAGAGGGTAGTGTAAGGAATAGATCAAAGGAAAAGATAGATATATGGATAGAAGAACTGTGCATTTTAGGGATTTGGGGGTATGTGACACCCGAAAAATAATTTCCCAGACCTGCCCCCCCCGATTAAAGGGGCCATATCGTAGAAATCCCCTTTTTGTCATTTCCTCTTAAAATAAAGTAAAAAAAGAACACCAAACCCGTTTTGGGCTGCATTCATTCATTTTCCTGTCTCAGCTGCAAATTTTGAGTGTTACTTTGAAAATTCTGTGAAGCCCTAATGGAAACCAGTCTCATCATCAGGCCTTGCAATTCTCTGGTCTGAAACCTGTGTCCGCTGGCCAGCACAGGATATGTGGCTTAGGCGACTGGTGTCATGTAGCAGACTTGGTAGTCCAGTGGTTAGAGTGCTGGGCTGGACACCTTAACCACTGGACTACCATAGCCAATACAGCAAAACTCACCTAAAATGCTGTTGTAGGCATATTTTGTCGGAGTGGGTGTGGGCGGAGTTTCACTGAAACAAACCGTTTTATTTTTGGGTATAAATTCAGGCTGATGGAAATAACTCGTATTTAAGATAAATGATATCTCAATAGTGCCAATGGTAATAGTTTATCATATACTGTGCCCATCTTAGCTCTCAAAGTTTTAAAATAGCATGATATGGAACCTTTAATTTTCAGATTTGATTAAATGAGTTGAGAAAGTTGGCACTTAATAATTTTCCCTAAACAACATTTATCTTGCATTTTTTTAATCTTCAGTCATAAAACGTAAGCTTGACCTGGTTTAGTTGCTGCAGCTGTTAGTGATGGTGGTAAGATTAAAACGCTTATGAGCCCAAGAGTTGGCCATTAATTGATCATCTAATCAGGAAAAAAAACTCTAAGCATCTTGAGAAAGACACGA